GGAATGCCTGCTTTTTCCATTTGATCACCATGTTCTGCTTACAGTCAGTCTTGAAGCGGTTAATGGATTTTGTGCCTTCTCTCTTGTTAATTTTGTCCAGTGAGCAGCTCAGTGGCACCCTGGGTTTGAACAGGGTCCACGGGTGCTGCTGTAACATAAGCAACGGTGCTGTTAGGTGGTGGTGGGAAACTGGGGAATCTTTAGGTTTGGTGAGTTTGCTGTTGCAGGAACCACACAAAGTTCAGTGGTTTCCGTTCTCAGGACTCAGCATGGGGATGGGTTTCAATTTCCTTGCATTCGTTCACCCTCCCCCAGGATTTCCCTTGAAGCTTGGAAGTTGTCATGGGACCTTAAGCCCAAAGCTTTCGTTTCTGCCCTGTCTGGTATTGCTGGTGTGGGATGTCGTGTGGTGCCCAGCTAAACTGAACCTCCGGGAAAGATCAGGGAAGGGAAGCAGCAGGGTGAAAGAGCGGAAGTTTTCCCAGACGTGGTGAAGGTATCCCAGGGCCATTTTGTAAATCCTGGCTGTGTTAATGAGCAAGGCAATAGAAGCTGGAAGCAGTTTGGAGGGAGACATGGAGGTAAAGAGAGTTTGGAAAGCAGGAGTCAGAGCTGAACTGTGTTTCACCTACTTGGTTATCGCTAGAATACTACATTAAAAGGAATTTTATGAAATTTCAAATATAATGAATGCTGCCAAATTTTCTGATTTCTATCTCAGCTTCAGGGCAAGGTTTTGCTCCCCTTAGGGCTGGGCTTACGATGGTTAAAAAATAATTGCTCCCTCACTTAGTTTTCCAGCCCTCGTGACTGTGGAGAAAAGCTCAAAGCTGCGTCCCAGATACATTCTTTAAGTTAAAAATATGAAGATAAAGCAACAAATCCACGCATTTATTAAACTATGTTTTTGTTATGATTGTTTTCAATGTCAGTCCCCTGACTTTTGTTGTTTAGAGTGGGGTTTGTAACTCCTGAATTCCAGAGACCTCAGTTGAGATCAGGGTCGTAGTGTGACCCTGCCACTGGTTCAATAGCAAAAGCTTTACACAGCCCTAGCAGTTGCTGACTGTGCTGTGATAGTGTTTTGAAAAAGACCCAAAACAATAGAGGAAAAAACCCACATTTGAATCTCAAGGACAGCACAGCTGCAGCATCCCGTCCTTTTGACTTTGTGGTTAACGGGAGCGGACGGAGCATCTGCCCTGGTTTGCATTTTATCTGTGTGACATTAGTGCTGTCAGTGAGTGACATCCTCCTGATGCAAGAGTGCGTTGTTTTGCAGGAGCCAGGCCAAAGAGACACCAAAGGAACAACATGGATGGCTTAGACCTCCTGAAGTTCCCTTCTGAAAAGGTAAGCAAAGATGTCTGGCCTCAGAGATTAAATACCAGTAGGAATCTTGTAATGGCTTGTTGACTGGCTTCATTTGCAGGGAAGTATGCAATTAGCAGATATCACTGGAGTCAATGGGATTTACCAAAGAGGGTTTCTAGAGAGCTTGGAGGAGAGGAACAGCTGGTCTAACTAAAAAGACACTTAACTGAAAGCTGAAAAAGCCACTTCTGTTTTTTTGAAAAAACAGGCTTTTATTGGGAGGATAATCATTAGCATTTTAGCCTCTCCAGTGGCTGGTGGCAAATCTTAGTGCCTTACTAGCCCAGCGGAGTGCTGCATTCAGCACAAGTAGGGCAGGGGAGGTCAGAAGCAGGAGATGGTGCGTTGCAGGAGGCAGAGGGTTTTGTTCCAAAGGGCTCTCAGGACTGCCTCTGCTCTGGTTCACTGCTGGAAATGTCAGATCCAAGCAGATCAGCATTTTCTCAGTGTCCCCAGGGCAAAGGCTGTTTCTGTAGTCAGCTGGGAGGCACTGAGCCTTTCCAGCTACAGGGATCATTTAAGTTTCTCAGAAGATCCTGCACAGGATTGCTGGGTCTGCCCAGCAGCAGGCACTGGTGCTGCCATGGGGCTCAGTCATGCCTGTTCCCAGAGGGAGGTGGCCAGGCAGGCAGCCGTGCTCTGCCTTTTTGGCACATGCCGTGGGCACAAATAATTTACATTCATCCAGCGCTTTCCAGGCACAGTTCTCCTGAGTGTCTCGGGGAGCATTTCTCCTTTTAAAGAAGTGTCACAGAGAGAAAAACTCACCCTACCTACTGCAGGTAGTTGCAGATGGTCAATGGGAAACAACCTCAGGCTTGCAAAACCATTTGGGTGCCTAAACATCCCAGTAAGCACTGGGAGGGCCAGACAAAAGCTCCTCCCTGAATTTACTCTCTTGGAGAGTTAAATGCCAAACGCACTTATGTATATTTATTTATCCTCCTAACTGCCCACTGGCTGTTTTGGCTCCTACCTGCTTTAACCTGTGCAACTCCATCTCTGAGGTGTTGATAGCAGGGACAGTGGTGCCCCGTGTCAGGGAGACAATTGTGTATCCTCATCGGAGCAGCATGGCCCGAAGGATGCTGGCAGGGAGAGTTTTGCTGATGTGTGATTTGCTGTTAGTTTCCTACTCTTTGCTGTAAAAGCTGAGCCTCGTTCGATAGTTCAGGCAGGGTTATGGGATTTCAGGGGTTTCACGGGGAGACTGGAGAAAACAGGAGCTCTGGGTAGTCTGTAACCGTGGAGTCAGACATGAGCTGTCCCATTCCCCCTGTGGTGGTCCTGTGGGGTGTGTGCAAGTTCACCTCTCTCAAGAGATGTTTTGGATGCAATTCCCCTTCCTCTCCCCTGCTGCACCTCTTAGGGACAGGTGATTACAGTCATGGAAGAGGGTTGTTTGCTTCAAGCTTGCTATGGTAAGGGTGATAAGATTGTAAAGAATAAATCAGTGGAGTGAACTGTGATCTCTCCAGCACCCTCTTGTTATTGTCTCACCTTCTCTGTCCTTCGTTTCTGCCAGAGATAGCCTTCAAAGTCCGCAGAGACTCCTGTTACTGCACAGGCCAGGAACTCTTGTGCAATGCTTGTGCATGGAGTTGTGTGTCTGGGCAGAGCGTATCTGCCAGGACGCACCCACGTCAGCGCTGGATGCCCCAGCAGATAGCAGGGACACCGCTTCCCTGTCATCCTGCTCTCTCCAACCTGTGCCTTACTCCTTGTTTTGAGCTTTTCTGGTTTTAGCTCTTAGCCGTTGGTTCTTGTTTATTCCTCTCTCTACCAGACTAAAAATCTCTGTATCACATGCTGGGTTTTGCCCTGAAGGTGCTTACATGCTATAATTGAGTCATCTATTCCTCTTGTCATGAACTACACAGTTTGAGGCCTCTAACTAAGGCAGTAAGGCACTGGAAGGCAATTTCTTTCCAGTTCTGAAATCCACTTTTGTGGCAGCTTTTCAAAATGTGGACACTGGCCTGGCTGCAGTTGGTCCCATCAATAGCATCTAGGGCAACAAATGTCTCCTTACTTGTTCTCACTATTCCTGTTTGCATTGCAAGGAATGGAAAAGTCATTCTGGCTACAGCATGCTACTGTACTATTGGTGTGCATCCTGCTCAGTGTCCTTGGCTTTCTGCTGCGTGTGCCCTAAGATCCCAGTCTCCTGGGCCCTTGGGTCATCTCCTGAGCTGTGCCCAAGCTGCTTTCACCTGCATGTAGTTGCTGCAATGAGGACACCCTGGGGAGTCCCCTCAGTGCTTTATGTATGATAAAAAGGTGGTTTGCGGCCCAGAAACATCAAAGCAGGTTTAGGGACTCAGTTCCCACCAGTTACATGTGAAGTGCCTGGTGCCTTTAGTAAGTGTATCTGGAGCTAAATGCTTTTCCTGCTGGTGCTTCTGTACAAGGGCCTCATCTGTGGGACAGCCGTGATGAGGCTGTTGTGATAATACAGGCAGGGCCACTAACCCGAGCCTTTTGACAGATAATGGATAGAGTTATGTGTGTCTTACGGGAAGGGGGTGAGAATGGAGGAGCCAGCGTCCTGAAACCAGGACAGCCAGGCATGGGGCAGGGCCTGCAAAAGCAAAGTGAGGACTTGCGGTGAGAAGAGACAAAAGCTAGAATTCAGGAGACGTGTAATCTCTGTCACCTCAGTTTCCCCATGCACTATGCAGGGGTCATAATCATATACTTTATACGGCCATGGGAGCACTGAACACAAACATTTAAGAGACCCAAGGAGGATGGCAGTGAGAGAACAGAGGACAGCTTGTAACCATCTGCCGTAGTTAGTCATGTTGCCCTGTGGTCCCCATGTCCTGGTAGCATCAGGGTTGGAAGAAGACCTGAATGGCACTCCAACCATTTATGCTAATCTGCCTTTTAGGAAAGTATTGGGTAAGGACTCATCTTCCTTTTCTTTTTGATGAAACCACTGGGAGACACTGAGGCAAGACAATGCTCCATGTGTGCCGGGAGCCAAATCCTAGAGGTGGAAAATGCCGTGGAGTATCTAGCATAGCCATGTTCCCTGGGGCATGGTTGGGTTATCCATGGTTCAGAGTGGGCTGCAGCATGGTTGGGCGCTGGGGGGAAGTGAAGGTACAGCAAGTGGAGGGACTTGAGCCAAAAGTTTTGTATCCTGGGCAAGATGAGCTTGCCACTCTGGAAGAGGTTTTTGAGTGCAGTTGCCAGAAATCACTATCAGCAGTGACTGCTGCTGGATCTTTCACCTATCGTTCCCTGTGCCTGCAAATAAACCAGCCATGCCTCTACCTCCATACCTGCATTTTTTAAGACAATGATACTTCTTCCTGACTTTTCCCTGTGGAGAGGTTGACTATTGTGTGGTTTTTGGGGGATGCTTCCTCTCCGCTCATTAAAATCATCTGCTGTGGACATAGGCAAAATATCCTCATTCAACCCTGCACATCACGAGTGGCGATTCACACCACCTAAACGCCGTGTTAACTTCCTGCTTCTTTGTGTCTTCTGTTCTGTGCATGCTTGCCAACAGATCTCCACGTACCTGAGACAAGCAATTTGTGCAATTACTATTTCTTGCTTTCCCAAGGACCAGAACGGGGACAGCCATCACATGGGAGACCTGAAGATCTCTGGAAAAGAGTTCTTGTCATTACCTGCAAGGTCAAAGAAATATCGGGAGCACCAATCCAGTTCAGAGAGAAAGTCCCAGGGGTCACGTACATCGCCACTGGATACCAGCGAAGTCCGAGTCCAAGTGTCACAGTCGGTAGGAAGATGTTTTTTTCCTCCAGTACTGATCTGGGAGTTTCTTATAGCATGTTCATTCTGACTTCGTTCCTAACCTGGTATGGGGGTGTCCGTGGCAGTTTCCAGCCTCTTGGCTGGAAAACAGAGCCTGCATATAGCTCTGCTGTTGACTGTTTGGGCAACTGTAGGCAAATCATTTTGCCTTTTTGAGCCTCAGCTTCACTGTTCATTAAGCAGAACAATGGTACCGACCTCCATCCTGAACTGGTTTATGAGATGGATGTTAAATGGTATTTAGTGGTGGTATTGGTAACCTTCTCTTGAGGGATGAGAGTTTAGACCTGAACTTTCCTGAGTTTGGGACTATCAGGATGTGATGCCTTGAATTCCAGAAGAACACAGCAATTTGGAGCCCTTGCTGTGTGGAGCCTGACTTGATCAGCCTCCTGGGGTTCATGAGGAGTGGTCTTCTTGCCTTCAAGAAACAGAGCCCTTTTCAGGTTTTTGATGAGCAACCAAAAATGCTGGTTGCCTTTGCCAAATCTGAGACCTTAGGTATTGTTCCCTCTCATCTCCTGATCATGTAGACAGTCTCCAGGGTGGCAATGTGCAGACTGGTCTCTTTGAATTCATCAATCATTAGGCAGAAATGATAGAAAATCATTGTCTAGGAACTTCTCTTTGGAAGCAAGTTAGGTGGAGCATGCTTAAAGAGCGGAAGCGGGAAAGAGGAGCTGGCCCTGGTGTCAGTGATTTATGGGTTACTGGCATGCAGCAAGTCCTCTGTTGGGTGTTGAAGAGCTCTGATTCAGTCTGTGCTTCGCTCCCCAGAAGGTGGTGGGGATCCCTGTCCTGGAAAGCTTTTCATGTGCCTTTTTGATGTCTTTAGCATGAACAATTGAGCTTTTTGTTTGGCCGTTACCTTCCAGTTGTGTTGATGTTCATGTTGTGACACGTGGCAAGTACAATGTACTGGGGAGGTTTCCTGCAGCTGTGTTGGTTTTGTTCTCAGTCCTGGAGACAGGGATCACACCCACAAACAATGGCATGTTTCTGGATCATGGGAGGGGCTTGCAGATACTCAAACTCAGTGATCTCAAGTGAGAAGCCCCAAGTCCTCAGCTTGATGTTGCCGGGAGATAATGGAGCATAACAGCAAAGATTTAATGATCGCATGGGTGCTTGAAAGTATTTGGGCTCTTGCTTTATACTGAGACTGTAACATACTATCACAGTCC